TATGGTCCAACTTTTCTTGGAACACTTATCTAGATTTAAAAAAAAACAGTCACAATGTGTATTTCAATCCCTATCTCAATTTTTAATATTTAGCACTTGATATACACTGTTTTCAGTTAAAGCTGATGATGAGATCCAACATGAGAGAAAATGACCCTGGCTTAAACAGTTACCACACATCACCTTATCTACAGAACTAGCAAGCTTCAAATCTGAAGGAAATTTGGGACAGTTACAGTTCAGCTCAGCCTGCAACAAGAGAATCCAGCCAAATTCTTTCACATTTGCCACACCACAATAATTCCACAGACGTTCACCAAGGCATTGCTTATTTGAGGTTATTTACTGCGCAGTGTTTAACCCCAAGCTGTAGCACAACTAGCCAACAGACTTAAAAGCCCCATAGAAATGCAAAGCTAGTTAAGGTGTTTTGTACAGAAGTACAAAGAATGTGAAAATATGTGCCTGCTACTACTTCAAATGCAGAAAATAAAGCAAAAAGTGTTTAATAACATAGTAACTAACTACAGCAACATACTAAAGGATGTTCTTAGAGGGCTCTGAGCCTATGAAACATATTCTCCTCCAAAGCATGATTTGCTGTCCTGGCTGTAGCTATGCCCTAAACCAGAGTCCTTTGTGCATGCATCTGAGGGCTCTGTCAGGCCTGTGCTGGAGTTAGGCACAGAATAACTATGGGGCACTTCTGGCAGATGAAGGTTTCTCCAAAAACAAGTGATGGAAGAAGCAACCTTCCCAGTGTGCAAGGTCAGCTTGGTCCCAACCTTCCTATGTGCTTATCCACTCACATTAAGAAATTTGAGGGGACCCTTTTAGTAATCAGGTGTCCATACAGGTGGCATTCATTTACATGTCCTCTGAACAGAGAGAGACTTAGCTTTCTCAGGATTTCTCCTGAGAGTAGCTATGAGAGAAGCAGAGAAAAGAGAATCAAAACAATTCTTCTCTCATTTGCTGCTCCTGTTTTGTACCCATGTGGAACGTGGTATGGAGATTGTTTATACAAGGTGCTTGCTTGATTGGATTCTGCTGATGGTGCTTGGATTCATTGATCAATTGGATCCACGTGTGTCTGTCGGGACTCTTGGGCAGAGAGTCATGGGTATTCTAGTCAGTTAGTGAGTGATAGTTCTTGTTAGTGTAATATAGTATAATATAGTTTAATAAAGTAATTAATTAGCCTTCTGAAATCATTGGAGTCCTGCACATAATTCTCCCTGTTGGTCGGACACCACATTTTACTATACATACACTAAACCCTACCATCAGGAGTAGGACTTAAGAATTCACTAAATACAAACACTAGGAGGAAGGTGAAGACAATCAACACAGAGTCCCCAAACTCATAGTTAAGAACAACACTTTTTTTCCTGAAAAACTATGCTACATCTCTTCAGGCCCACACAATGTGAACTACTGTCTACTTTTTTTTCCTAAGGCTTGTTTATTGCTAACAGGCCTCGTTTATGATTTTTCTGCTATACCTTTTGGATCCTTTCTTTGCTTCTTCTTTCTCAAACATAAGCTTTGTGTCTGAATTTTCAATGCTTTTAATAACCTACTTCCTCCTTATCTATCTTCTGTCATTATACAAAGATTAATGCAAATTTGATTAGATTTCTGTAGTTCATCTGCTGGTTTTTCAAACATCTTTGTGCTTTCTTCCATGTTGTCCTTCTTGATGGACTTTTCTTTCAACAGCCACAAAACCTGATTAATTTTCCTCAGCAAATCCCACCTTATGTCTTCTTCACCATGAAGAACACACAGAAACAAGAGTTCGACTGATGGTGTGTTGCAAACTGTGCCTTCCCCACTGATCAATACAGACTCATTGTTTCCCTCATCTGCCCAGAGCCATCTGCTGTCTTTTGTCTTATACTTTTGAGTTCTTCAGGGCAGGAATTATCTTTTTGCCCTATATTCCTATACAATATAACAAGATAATCACAGTTCAGGCAGGATTAAGGCTGCTAGATAACATGATAATACAAACAAATTACAACAACGGAAAATTTGCTCCAAGTTCTCTACAGGTTTTGTTTATTTGTTTTATTTTTTGGGGTTTTTTTAAAATGAAATCTAAGACTTAGAAATATTAGGTGGTTCAGGAAAAAACATCACCGATTCCACTGTTTTTTCAATGCCTCTGACAAAGGTTTAAAATAGCAGTAGGTGAGAATATTAATTCAAGTCTTTTAATAGAGGGCTGGATCAGGCTCGGCAGGTCTGACAGCCTGTCTCCATTGTAACTCCTCCTAAAGGCAGGAAAAGGATTCTCACGGGAAATGAATCAGCCCCTACGGAGCCCACGAGGCAGCGTGCAAGAGGAGTTCTGCTACTGCCTGGCAAGATTGGTGGCTCAGATACAGGACCACGTAGTGACATCTTTATCATAATCCCTAATAGAAATATGCCATATTTTCCTATTTATTTTTATTTGAAGGTGAATGTCGCAAAAGTTAAAGGGCTGCAACACTAAACGGGGTCATAATAAGAAAAAATCCAAGATTATGTCCACAGAGATCATGATTCAGGGAGACTGCTGTGAACCACAAATGTAAAATTATAAATATTACAAAGCGTGTATTTATGTGCAAGAGGCCTAAATTTCACGGAGAATCCTCGTTCCAGGGGCCTTTTGGTGCCTACATGCTCGCTTACGAGACTGTGCTATGCAAGGGGGGTTGTTTTATCTTGCACTGAACAGAGAAGGGGTCAGAATTTGCCCGTCTTTTCAGAGCCCAGCTCCAGCAGGCACTACCTGACTCAGCTCACAAACTAGAGCCACAGCATCAAATTTCCCAACCCACTTAATTTGAAAGCCTGCCAAGATAGGTGAAAGACCTTATAAATATGTAAAGCAGGAAGTTCAGATTACACAGTGATGTAAATTCCCAGTGATTGATGCCCTTTTAAAAACAATAAAAATCCTCGAGAAACTACAATGTTGGTGAATGTGCTTCCCTCCCGATGCTGTCTGGCGGTGCCGTGCGGAGTTTGGCTGATGTATTGTACTTTTCGTGCGGATTTTATTTTGGATTTCTACCACTTCCTGGAGGCCAGGGGGAGGCACAGTGGGAGGAACCAAAAAACTCGGTGCCACAGCCATTTTGTTTGTGGGCAGCATGGTAGAATTCTGTCAGTCAGTATAAGGAGGGGTTTTTAAAACAGTATTTATGGAAAAACTATTCCTGCCGTAACGGATGTATCTGTTGAATTTAGTGTTAATTTAGTCCTTTCATAAGGTAGGTATTTATAATTGTAAGTAAATTGAGTATTTGTTGGGATTCCAGCCTCCCCACTTTCCAGGAATCATGGATTTTGTTTCAGGCATGACTGGCTCTTTCGGATGCTGCGAGGCTGCCGGAGCCCGGCGGGGCGGGGGTGCCGCGGGGGGAGGCCGAGGGATGCGCCGGGCGGCACAAACTTGCTGCGGGGTTCGGAGTGGGGGCGGGGGCGGGGGGAGGGACGGAGGGAAAACGGCGAAGTCTTGGAATTATTTTGTCCAACAGCCTTCCTTTATTAATTCTCAAGAGGCAGCTGCTCTAACCGAGGGGAGGATGAGGCGTGGGGTTGCGCGGGGCGAGCCGTAGTTTTGCAGTGTCACCGAAAACCAGCGCTGGACTTTGGTCCTGTGTGCTCCAGAGGCGGGTGTAAAATGGCACACTGCATTTTTCCAGGCGGCGGCGGGGGGAGCGGCGGGGCGGGCGGGGGCGCCGCTGCCCGCGGAGCCCATCGAGCCAACGCCAGCCCCGGCAAAGTTGTGACCCCGGCGGCACCGGGTCCCCCGCCCCGGCTGCGGCCGCCCGCCGGCATCGCCCGCCGACCCTCGGGAAGCCGCCTCCTTCCTCGCCCGCCGATCCTGCCGGGGTGACGGGCAGGGGGAGGAAAGAAGAGAGGGAGGAGAGGGAAAAAAAAAAAAAAAAAAAAGGAAAGGAAAGAAAAGAAAAGTCTCACTTTCTGCATTTGCGAAATATTTTAAGGATGTTCGGGAAACCCTTTGCAGCATGGAGGTGGCTGGTTGTAGGAGAGCGAGTATGCAGTCCATATTGTTACAGCCCTTTTGCAAGGGCTGCCTTCTTCGAAGGTAAGTTTGTGGTTTTAACCAAAAATATTCCTTTCTGCGGGTTTTTGGCGTGTATTAGTGCTGTGGAAGATTTTCGTTGTGTTGATGAACAAAACGTAGTCTTGTATTTTTCATAGCTTTGATCTCATGTGAATCCCACCCAACGGTGTCTCCTTAATAGCGACAATTACTGAAGTCAGTTTTGTTTCCTCTTTAAAATTTTATACACGAGAAGATTAAAAACAATTTAACTTCAGTTTAGGAGTATAAGAACTCAAATATTTTCCAGATGGACTTGGTTTTTTTTGTTTGTTTGTTTTTTTTGGTTCTGGCTTTTTGTTGGGGTGGGGGGGGGGGCAGGGGGGAATTCTTTACCGAGTAATAAACGGATCCAGGACCAAATATGTGACTGTCTATATAAATATAATGCAGCTCTCGTGTATAAAGAAGCATGTTATGTTGCTACTGTATGGTCTGATGGTAGCTGAAAGAGTTTACAATGCCATTTGTGATGGCTCTTGATGGATTACTTTGGTCTAAAGTAAGGGGGAAAACTGCCCTTGATATGGTGAAGGTGGAGATGGACATAAGAGGGTTTATATTAAGTTATGTCTCTTACTAAACAGTGACCTTTTTATTTACAAATTCCAGCTCTTGTGATAATTAGCTTAAAGCATTAGTTATATAAAGGTTCTTATTTCCCCACACTTCACTTAGATGTCTTGGTGTTGGGTTGTTTGGTTTGTTTTTTGTGGTTTTTTTTGGGGGGTGGGGGTGTTGAGTGGTTTGTTTGCTCTTTTTCTTCTAAGAAGGCACATTTGGGAGACATTTTGTAAATTTTGGCATTTTTCTAGGCGCTTTCCTTTTTTTTTTTTTTTTTTTTTTTCACCCGGTGGGAGATCTTTTTTGTTTTGCATTGCTCTGTGCTGGTGGCGCTGTGGGGCTCCGAAACAATTCGTGTCCCTGGCTCTAAAGGCGGAGGGGGCCGGAGGGAGAAAGGTGGGGCACGGGTTGATCTATTGTATCTTTTCCTTTTCTCTGTATCAAAAGTAACCGCAAATTAGTTAGAATTACGATGAAATTGTATATCTAGAAAATTGTAGTGTCGCATGAACTATGGCCCGGCAGAGGCATGACCTCACCCTTTCGCTGGTTTGTGTAATGAAGCGTATCCTTAATTTTTTTTTCAATCCTGTACCTAGGGTCCAGTTTTCCTCAGTGATGAGATCTTCGGTCCCACCCCCAAAATGATTTTGCAGTGGCTGCAGATGAAAGATTTTAAAATGATTTTTTGCAGCCAATATGGAAGGCTTTGGCACACACTTATTGTGCAACTAGTCCATTGTTTGCTTGTTGTGAAGTTAAAGGGTCCATCCACGGCTGCTTATGAAGCCCTAAGGTCCCCCTCGCTCTCGTGCTTGCATATGCAAATCTCCTGATGAGGTCTGTAGGAGTTTGGGTTGAAAAGGGAAAACCTAATGTAGTCCTTCAGATTGTAAGAGGATTCACCTGAGGTGGGTGGGTTATTTCTTTCCTGTTGCTAAGTGGAGCATTCATTTTACATGTCTTTATACAAAGAAAAATGTTAATGTGTGTTTTCTTTTGTTGCAACCTACAGATCACCTCGGTTCTAAGTGCAAAAGGATTAGAAGGCTTTCTGCTAACATCCATATTAGGTGTAAGAAAACAGAAGTGATTAATGTTCTAAGATGGTTGGGAAGACATAGTCAAGCCCATGATCAGAGCATATATTGGAAACTTAACAGGTTCAGGAACAAATTTGACATTAAATTCAACACATTCTTAAGAAATCAATGTGCCTGTTATTTTGGAGTGATAAAAGCTGATAATTTTAGAGGCCTTTGCATCTATTTTACATTTCAATGTCTTCAGTATTTTCAAAGAATAAATTCGACAAATACTAGGCCGTTTGAAACAGTCTCTAAACTTCTTGTGAATGTTTAAATCTTCAATAATGAATTTATATATCAGATCAAAGAGTTTGCTCATTAAGTTAATTAGCTTTATGGAAACTGATATACAACTTCAGTAGATCTCTGTAATGGTCTCTTATTCACTATTCCTTTTTAAAATAAGGTAAATTTTGCTTCTGTCTTAGGTAAAATACATCTTGCAACCTCCTAACGTAACAAACATATATCCAAGAGAGCAGCCAGTTTTATCATCTCTCCTCTATCAGACAAAATCTGCTTTTATGAATTCTTGGCTGGAGCAGAGACCTATGACAGTGCAGTATGACCTCTACTTCTTTGGTGTCCTGGTACAACTCTTAGACTTGAGGACAAACACCAAGGCATAAACCCTCTTAGAAAGCGTGGAATTGGGCCATCCTCCATTTCCATTTCTGAGACCTGATCACTAGGATATAAGGTCGGCATTTTGGGCACAGTTTATGCCAACAGAAGTAGTGCCAGCTGTTGAGTTTATTACAATAATTATCAGTCTTAGAGAATCACTGGGCTGTTTAATTCTGATGCAACTTTTCTTTTTTGACATCATTCAGACCAAGGCTCAAGTGTGCTCATCCACGGACAACAGTATCGAACAAATGATAAACTGAGGTGCTTACTGAAAGTATTTTAATGCTTTTATCATCTTGCACCATGAAAGTGATGATTTTTTGTGGCTGCACCCTGTACATGCAGGCCATGCACAACTGAGTGTTGTGATCTTGCTGCTCAGAGCCAGTTCGAGCTCAGTGAAGTCAGCACAAAAATGAAATCTGAATGGAAACTTGCTTCACACTTTCTCCCCTCTCTCCCATTCAACTGAGGCTACGCTTTAATTTTGGTTGTGGTTTTGCAACTTTGAAGCTGCAACTGATGAAAGTGTCTGGTTTTACTCCCGTCAAATCATAGGGTGAGAAGAGTGAAGTGCTGATCTTCCACAACTCAGTGGCTCTCTCACTTATCTCCTTCCTTTTTGAGCCATTGTGTTGCCAATAAGAAGTAAGAAGTGTTTAAGATTCTGTATCTTCTCAAAGCTAGCAACTAATTTACCTCCTGCATCTTCTGCAGACATGCCTGGAAGAGTAATTTCTGTGGGGTAGCTCAATCTTTATTGTGTTTTACACTGCTCCTTCTGAAATACCAGTATGTCGAATTCCAGGACCTAAAGCATAATAACTTTTTTTTTTTTGTCGGGTTTCTTAATTTTCTCCCTTACATATACCTCCATTTCTAAGTTGCCAAAACTAATATATTTTTCTCCTAATACAGTTTCTCTTTTACCTAGAAAGTCTATATAGTACAGGCACCTTTGTAAGATATTTGGGTCTCTTGGCTTAAAACTGTTTGAAGTATGGAATCGTACTATAAACCAATCTTTTTCAAGAGCTTAATTCAACCTAACTGACCAAAATGTTCTTTGTGCCTTGGTGAGATACCTTTTACATTCCTTTGCATATGCAAAATTACTAGTATTATGAACTCAAGTAAGAGTCATGGTAAAAATGGCTGTCTAAAATGGTCAATAGTAGTTAGTGCAAGATGTGTAGATCCCAGGCAGATAGAATCAGCTTCCAAAGTTAACCAAAATGTCATGCAAGCAGTTCCTCAGAAGTGGGTTAGTCGTGTAGAAGAATGTTGTTTGGGGCTCAGCTCAAACAAAAGTCATACCCCCTGCTTTTGAGGGCTCTAAAGTATTCTTTGTGTCCTTGATCCAACATGGTTTCAAAGGTGGGGGGCCATCTCTATGTTGGACACCTTGTGACATAATCTTGTTTCTCCTCACCTTTCTTATTTCATAACTTTGCTAGCTGTACTTCTCCACAGCCTACTTGTCAGCATCAACTTGTAGCAATGAATAATTAGTTTAAAACTTCAAGGAACACCTGTTTCTCAGCAGTGAACAAAGGACAATATACTACAATGCCTCCTTCAGACTCATCTTCTACAAAGTTAGGTCTCTCCATATCTCTTCCAGACTGATATTTGCATGACCTTTTGGTGTTATGAAATTATCTGCTCTAAATTCTACATGCCAGAGGAACTGCTGTAGCTAGCACATCCTTTCACCTTTTAGCATTCTTCATATTTTTCCTCTCTTAGAAAATAGCACAAGAAGTTAATTCATGTTGCAGTGAAGAGACAATCCTAGACTTTAAATTCTTTAGTAAATATACAGGATGGGGGAATGTCAGCGCTTCGAAATATAACTCCTGTATTGCTGTTGTGAGCAACAAAGTATGCCTTGCACAGATGTGACCAGGTGGCTTCAGGTTCTGTGGGCTTCTTTAAACCCCTTACTAAGTCACATTTCCAGTTTATTGTGTTACTGCTGGACTATCCAGGAGCAAGATAATACCAATACTATAAACTTCCTTAATAGGAAGGTTTGTTCGTTGATTCTCTAGGAATAGTAGCTAGAACTTGAAAGTGGTGGTCAGAAGGTATTGCAGTGTTTAAAAAGTCTGTACATTTGCTAAAAACTATTCTCTCTGCTTATCTCCCAATATAAACAACAGAGAGATGGGAACTGCCAAATAACATGCGAGTCCTAGTCTTCACTACTTGTGCAGCGAGTTGGGATGCTGTTGTGGAGCTCCTGGATGGTAAATGGAAAATTGCTCAGAGCCAACCAACACCATACAACAGAAAACAGTAGTTACAGATGCAATGTCTATTGCTTTGAGCACCAGTAAAAATAGCAAGAGCTCTAAACGTAGTCCATGTGAATTCCAGCTTGGAGCAAATGACTGAAAATGGGGGATGCTGACGTGCCATCTTATGTTGCTGAGCAGAACCTGGATCACTATTGCTAGGGAATGGGAAAAGGATGAGTTAGATTTTAGAATGCATTGAGCACTAGGATTTCCAGAGGAAAAGGTGGGGTTCAATCTCATCCCCGTTCCCAGGACTGTCTCATGGATTTTACTCAATAATGTAAAATGTAGGAATTCCAGGGAACAGTGAGCAGATTTGTTCTTCCCAGAGGAGTCTTCCTTTTGTCAGGTTCCACTTTGGTTTTTCCTTGGGTTAGAGACCTGGGAAATGGGCCTGTTAAGGTGGTGTTAACTCGCATTTCCCTGGGTTTACAGCAAATTGGACTTCTGAGTGAATTATAATCCCTGTATTGTATATATTCATGTAGAACTTATTTCATTTACCTTTAGACGGGTATTGTTAAATCTGTAATCTGCAGTGGAAAGAAAGAGATCAAGTAAATGATAGCCTTAAAAAATGACATCCAGGAGAATAACATAGCCTTAAAAAATGACAAAAGGACTCCAACAACAGAAAAAACAAGAAGAAAACAAACACAACCAAATTTTTGATGTCTGGTGTGATAAGAACTGTATCTTAAATTTAACTAAGTATCCTGATCAGGTCTGCATCTGCCTCCTGTGACTAATTGAGATATGAATGCCCTCACTTAATCAGAGATATCCCATGCCTGTGAGTTTGCTAATAATGACCTGTGCATGATTTAGGTAACAAGAAGTTGGCTCTTAATCCTCACTCTCCTTCAGAGCCTTGAGGAAATTACTAAATGGAAGGAAGACCCTCGGCCTCACAGGGATGTGCATCTGAAATATTCATTAACACAAATAAGAGTGAGCTTTCCATTTTCAAACAGACATAAAAATCAAGTGACTTGGATCTGGGGATTTCACAGCATCCCCTTCTACTTACTAAAGAATCTTGGTGCTGCCATAACCTGATCACTAAAAGGATAACTTCATGAAAGGGTCCTTTCACCTGACAGTTTTTCATCTGTAACAGATGGGGCATGTTTTCTGACTGGATTTATTAATAAGATTTTTTTTTCTCAAGAAAATTTAAAATTCAATTTTAAAGTTTGTAATTCAGAGCAGCTGTGTTATTTCTGATAGTCTCAAAGGTATCCACACAAGGCAGAACATCTTGATGTCTTTAGAAAAAGTACTTGTGTATTCATAACTCAAGAAAAGTGCTGCAATCAGCATCTTTTAAGGAGAAACCATGCTGGATAATAGAGGGGAGAAAACATATATCTGATAACTCTGCATAGACACTTTCTGTTTAGCCCATATTCATCTACAAGCACATAATGAATGAAGATTCCATAAGAAAGTATTCTGCTTTCTTTTGTAATCTCTGAGTCAATTTCCAAGTTAAAAATTGGATGTTGTGGGAATCTGTGGGATTTGGAAGGTCTAGTCAAGCACACTTCCAGATGAGCTACTTTAATGTGAGAAACTGGTTTTTTTCCCCATCTTTCATATTCTCCCTTGATATTTTTTTTTAAATTAGGTTGTGTCTCTTTATGCTAACATCCTTCTTGAGTTGGTTTTAAGTAAAAAGCTCAGCAGACTTGGAACATGTGACCAGTGGCAGGCTGGTGCACATTAACCCAGTGTTAATGACAGGGGTCTGTCGTGCTCTCTTGGTCAGAGGAGCAGAATGTCAGAACAGTCATAAAACTGACACACTGCACAATAAGAGAATGGGAACTGAGTGTCTTTGTCAGAGATGGATTTGGGAGGGGGGGTGTGGGGTGTGGTTCAAGTCTTACCTGCTTGCAACCTGAATGATTTGAGAAAACCACTTTCCATTTGGCTCTGCTCCTCAGGTTGCCCTAACAGCATATTTGGGGATTTCACAGGGAATGTGAGAAGAAAATGCCAGTGATATCACAGCACTTCTGGGTTCCATTATCCCACCTACATTAGTGACAGAGAAAATAATATAATGTGATTTCTCTATTTTTCTTCTCACTACAACTTCATGTTTGCATGTAGACCGAAACACTTCCCTTTCAACATCTGCCCATCTCCCACAAGTTGTTTGCATTCTCTAAATGTTGAAAAACCTCAAAAATTACATTTTCTTCAGATTAACCCTATCATAATTTTACACTTTTAAGCATTTGCTATCATTTAAAGATATTTAGATAAGGATATCTCCAAACAGTGTCATCTGATCAATTTTATATTCAGAACTAGCCTCCTCTGCTGGATATTTACAGTCAAACTTAATTCATTAGGCCTTTTTTCCCACTAATGCAGCATTATTAATTTATGCTTTCTTAACTTTATATATAAACATTGGGTTATAAATATGATCATGATTATTTGTATCCCAGAAGACAAACAATATTTTTATAACATTTACTCATGCTTAATTTAGTATAAATCAAATACAGTGTGTAAAAAATCCACTTCTAAAATGGAAAGAATATTTGTGTTCTTGCAAGCTAATAACAAGCTTTGGAAATCCAAAAGCTAAGTTATTTGTATTTTTTTTCATTTCTTTGAAATGGAGAAATGTATTTATGTTAAGTAAAGATGGTATAGCCTGTATAAGGTACTTAATAACACATTTGTATTAATTTGATGTGGAATTTGTAGGTATGTAGGTACATCCCACTAACATTAAAATAAAAACAATCTAAACATATATGTTAGGAAATGCCTCTTCATTCCAAGATGCAAATGTACTTTCCTGCACCAAAAGATTTCTGAAGCTAAGCTAATTTCTATCTAGACATAAGTCACTGTTTTCCCCAGCTGTGTCAGGGAAGCAGATAACCTACTTGCATTCTGATTGAGGAACTGCAAATTAAAGCATTTGTCTTTGTTACAGTTATATATGAAGTCATATAGTCATAGATAAAGTTCTATAGTAATTCCACATTAATTTAACTCCACATTATTTAACATCAGCAACGTAATTTTGAAGTTTGAAAATACTTGATCATACTAACCAGAAGCCCTGAAGCACTTGAAATGATTTTTCATAAATTGACTTTCAAGACAGGATTTCTATCTTGGAAGTGTAAGGTAAAAATCTAAAAAGTTAGAGCATGTAATAGTAAGACATTCAGGTCTTACTATTTAACTGAATTTGCTATATTATTTGCATTTACATAGAGCCAGGCACCTACCAGGGTAGAAGTAAAGTTTCTGAAGTCATGCAAAGGCCCAGAGCCTGTCACCAGTTTACCCCTTTATCCCATGTTGGGATGTGAGCACTGGCAGTTGATGTTTATGTAGTGATGCCATGTGTGTGTTTGTGGTGGGGTTTTTTCGTTTGTTTTTAGCTTAATGGTCAATTGAAGGATTTGGGACAGTGTGCAGACCTGTGTACAGCTATAATTTCTCTACTTCTGTTTTCCTTTTTTAGCCTTTCACCTTATACTATGCAGAATATCAAAGTTAGACATCCTTAGCTCTTTGATTGATGAACTAGCAATTGTGTTGGCAGGAGAAGGCAGGGCTTTTATATTTGGTTGGTTGCTGTTTGTTTTGGGTTTTTTTTAAATCTGGTTGTGGTTTTGCTTGCTTTTTTGTTTGTTTGCTTGGGTTTTTGTTGTTTGTGTTAGGGTTTGTTTTTTTTTTTTTTGCAAGAAAACATAAGGGCTTCGCCCTTCTGATGGCTTGTCTACTAGAAATAATACAGGATTTAATCATGTGATTAAATTTATTTGACTCAGAGATTATTCATGTGTTGTAATCTGATGTTTGCAGAAGTCCATACGTAAATCAGAGATGTTAACCAGCCCAGCCTGCTCAAATTGTGTTTATGTAACAAATTGAGATTTTAGTATTATTATTGTTTTGTATGTCAGAATACAAAATATTTTGGATAAAGATTGAAAAAAAAAACCAAAAACCCAGAGCATAAAATCAAATATTTTTGGATTTTGTTTTGTCCCCTTTTTTCTTACTACTTAATCCTAAATGATTAATTTGTGAAATTACTTGCTAGTAAAGATGACTAAATCAAGAATTCAAGGTGTGTCTAGCATAGAGGGGATATGTGTTTAAAAATTAAAACATGAAGGAGAAAATCATAAGTCACCTTTAACCCTTACAATTCCTAGGACACCTGTTCTGAATCCATTAAAACTTAAACAGGAAAAATGTATTTCAAGACAGAAGAGTCTCAGCATAATTTGTGTCTTTTTATCACCACTGTATCTAAGAGAATAACTACTTCCACTATAACATGTTTTTTCCTAGACACATAAAAACTTAAGTCTCCAAAACAAGCTGTATAAAGGAAACTGATTCTCTTCTGACAGTACTAAAAAAATTCCATCAAATTCTTTGTGTTTTTAAACAGAGCCCATTTTACCATTTTCTTGCATATCTGTCCAGATGATGCTGGGACAATGATGAATCTGTAAAATAATAATCCTAAATCATTAATTAAATCATTAATCCTTAGTCATAAATTCCTTTTGAAGTCTTAGTCCTCCTATGGACAACTGCCTCTACCACCTATAGGAAATTAGCTGTCACTAGAAACTAGAAATCTGGCAATAGCTTTTGCTGCTCCTCTCTTAGCTTTGTTTCTTCTCAGTAAGAGAATTGCTGGCTAGTGGCTTTTCCTTCTCTTTTGGATATGGCTCCATGGAATATCTGTTTGAGGATCAGCTTAGTTTTTGTGAGGATGCTGGACTTAACCTTTGAGTTAAAAAAAAAAAAGCATTAAAAAAAAAAACCCAGGTCAACAAAATTGCTGTATAAATAAATGAAAAGTTATTATAAGCAGGGTGTAAGGTAGTCACAGAGTGAAAAAAAAATAAATTGCAAATACAAAGAAATCCTAATTAAAAAAAAAACAATTTAAGAAAGCTTTTTTTTTCTTTAAGTTGAACAACTGTCTCCTAGAATTTATATCCTTAAAATTCAAAATGCTTGAGGCCAAAAGGCAACAAAAGTGACGTGGTTTAACCTATATGCACGTCATGTGTAGTACTTTTGGGATGATGATTGATTGCTGCTAGAATGGGACGCAATATTAAACCCATGTGCCAAAGGCTACAATTCATGCTTAAGTAAGTGACTAGAAATCTTTCTTGAACTCAGAGAGGTTTTAAGCCATAAAACTAATACCAGAATTTCTAACAACATGTCAAACAGTACACAGGACTTGCAAACCAAAATAGAAGTTATGTTTTTGGGCTTCAGAAACCTGAGTTAGATGAGAGCACAAGAGAACCCTACCCCTGTCTGTAGGTACGTGGATCAAGTTGTATCTTTGCCCATAATGCTCAGTCTGAATTTAGTACTTTTGAATGTATTTTGAAATGGTTATATTTACCAGCTACATAGCTGATACACAAAGTGCTTTCATTTTAGTTAAGCTTGTCCTTTTAATTGTGATCATAAAAAGATAAAGCTTGAAAGAAATGTCCCAAATGATTTCAGCAGTTTAAAAAACAATAATGATAGCCATTCTAAATGTCTTTTCATTATATTTCAGTTACTTTACCTTACAGTTTAGCTTTTAAAATAGACACATAGCACCTAGGTTCAACAAATTAATTTATACTTACTGATCTTTTACTGAGAGCTTGCAAAACATACCAATTCTGCATAAGTTACTGTCATAGTGCAGCACTGATGTCTACAGATGTAAAGTGTGCATTTTGGTAAAAGCTAGAAAACAGAAAAAACCCTAAAATATACCTGCATTTTCTAACCAAAAGGAAGATAAAATATCTGTCTGGTTATGTTCCATACCTTTTCCTGCCACCATCTACAGAACAGACATCAGGGCTAATGTCACATTGTTTTCAATTATCACACTTTCCATCTTACTAGCAAATTAATTTTGAGGACTAATCATCTTCTGACACAAAATATTTAAACACAATCTCTTTTATTGGGAAGACATTAAAAGCTGATGAGTCAAAGAGTTTCAGGCCAAAACTTTTCCTTAATGCACCGTCCTGTCTGTATCCAAATGTTATTGTTCATTCTGCTTGCTCTGCACTTTTTTCAAGCCTGTGGCAGGGCTAGAAATGCAAAGGTCAATTAAGGATAAGTGTGAACTTGATTATTCTTCATTTATAGTTAAGGATATTTTCAGTATTTTGGTTTTCATTATGTTCATTATGTATTGTTTCCCTTTCATCACTATAAGTGGAGAGTTATACTTAATGGCCTTTTTTCTTTTGCTTAGCTGCCAGGTGTTTCTTTTTCATTTAATTTTTAAAGTCAACACTAATCTATGATGGCATATTGTGATTTTTTGTTCTTTTTTTCAGCACCTTATCTTTCTGCTAATTGGGTAAACTAAATTATTTAGTATTTGTGGAAAAGGGTGTAGATGTTTTATGGGCAATTTATTTTAAGATTATATTTCTAACTAGTGTGTGTTTTAAGCTTTAGAATTAGAGTAAAAAGTAATATGCATGTTTAAACATTTGATTCTGATGTAACTACTGAAATGCAAATGAATACAATGATACTTCTTAGTTCATGCCACTCTCCTAAAAAAATAAAAAACAACAATCAAGCCTCCCTTAAAAAGAAACCAATCTCATTCTCCCTAGCAGCTGTCTTCCACTGCATTGCCCATTTGCAGTACAGGTAGAATTTAGCATCCCAGAGAAGTTATAAAGCCAAATGAGTTGCAGTTTAAGCAGTTTGGGAAACCTAGCGGGTTTTGGTTTCCCAAACAGTCATGCAAATAGTTGGCTTGAATTGTCTGTTATCAACTGCATCTAGAGTAATATTTCATCTAGTGTCTAATAGTGGCTTAAGATTGAGGAGAGTGGTGGTATTATTAAAGAGGTGGTGCGATTTTAAAAATAGCTTTTTCTTCTATTATAGAGATTTCTAAAATTGCTAAGCAAAATGAGGTGGGTTTTTTTTTTTTTGTTTGGGTTTGTTTTTTTTTTGTTATATGTATGCCTTATTTCTGAAAGTTCTGTTCCCCAGGAGTAATATGTGATAAAGAACAAAGTTCTGTCTACCGATTCTCATGTGACAGTAAAAACTACAGTATTTTGCATTGAAAGTGGAGGGACACTTAAATTCAGTCAACACACAACTATCTCGCATTTTAAACAAAACTAAGCATAACTCGGATAAGATGGATTTTACCACAGAGCTAAATTCCGTTTAAGATGGTGCAGGAGCATACACGAGCACGCAGAGCTCCTCAGCTCGGCGACTGCAGCCTGGCCGGGCCGGAGCAGCGTTTGACGCGCTGGGATGCCCCGGGGCGGCTTGTGCAGAGAGCACCGAGAGCGGGCTAACTCGGCATTTCCGATCCCTCGCTTAGAGCCGAACGGTGCATCGGTTTAATCGACTCATTGAGATGTAAACGAGCTTCCCTAATCAGACACGCTCAAGTGGGTTCTGCCCATTGCCCGGGGTGAGCTCGCTTGAGCGGGTCACTGATAACAACTTAAGTCCACGCAAGGCTTAAACCAGTTCACGTGTCTGCACTTTGCTGCCGGACCAAGTTTCTGAAAACCTCAGAGAAACGGGGTGGCGATGCCGTTGTGGCGGTGCCCGGTTCTTCACCGTTTTCGGACAGGTGCCCGTGTTCCCCCTTTATTTAGCACGGACGCGAACTCGGTTCGGCGACGCGGAGAGGGACAGCGCCCGGCGGGCGGGCGCTGAGGCGAGGGGCGCTCCCGGCCGGGCCCCGCTACTCGCGGGGCGCCGCTCCGGCCGCGCCGGGGACACCGCAGCCCGGCGTGTCGGGGTGAATTCAGAGCCCGGTACCGCTGTCCCGCCGTCTGGGCCCCGCGAGGCCGGAAAGGTCGGGACCGGCACCTCCCCGCCCGTCTCGCCCAGGTTTCCCAGGGCTGTCACGGTCAGGCGCGGCTGCAGGGGAGGTTCCCCCCCGGGTGAGGGGCTGGGGGCTGCCCCAAATTCCTCACCCCGGCAGAAGCGGAGCGCGGCTCCGCGGCACAGCTCGGCGACCGGAGGGCGGAGCGGCGCCGCGCACGCCGATTAAAACTCCCTTTGCTCTCGCCTGTGCCCCTGATCCCGGTGTCCCGATCCGGCTCCGGCGGCTCCGAGCCTTCCCGCGCTGCCGAGCCCGCTCGGGCCGCTCGCAGCGTCCCGCGCTCCCGAGCCCGCGCCGCCGTGCCCGCGCCGCGCGCGCTCCCCCCGGGCGGCGCCGTGCCCGCGCCCTGCGCGATGCAGTGTGGGAATGGCTGTGGCGCTGGGGTTGGCTGAAAGAGGCGGCCAGTCGAGGTTTAATGTCCGCCATGTTGGCCGTGGCGTATTGAGCGGAACCGGAGCGGCGGAGGAGCGGAGCCAGCGCCCAGCCCAGCCGCGCCAGCGGGCGCCGCCGGGCCCCGTGTCGGAGTGCGCCCCGCCCCGCCGGGGGAGCCCCGGTCCCTCCATGAGATCGCTCGGCGGGATCCGGCTCTCAGCTCGGAGCGCGCTTGCTGTCGCCCCCCCCTTCCCAGCCGGAGCCGCCATCGCCGCCTAACATGAGCAAACTGTCGTTCCGGGCCCGGGCGCTGGACGCGTCCAAGCCGCTGCCCGTCTTCCGCTGCGAGGACCTGCCTGACTTGGCCGAATATGCCTCCATTAAT